TAGAGGTGAGACTCGAGGCACAACTCAGAATGCAAATCCATGTATTAAGCCTACAGGAGATATTTGTTATAGCTGATATTGCTACAAATTTGGGCATCATTCTAATACTTGTCCTAAAAGAAAACAAGGCAATTTGGTGGAACTAGAGGCACTGGGTCCTAAAAGAAAACAAGGCAATTTGGTGGAACTAGAGGCACTGGATGAGGAGAGATGACACTGAGGTGGAAGATGAGTATGAGGGAGTAGAGTATGCTATTGAAGAAGGCACAAAAATGCTCACTTTGGAACTGTAGCTAATCCTTTTGTCACCTAAGGAGGAGGGACAATGTCACTGCATCTTTTGTTCATTTTGTTCTATCAAGAATAAGGTGTGTGAAGTGATTGTGGAAAACGAAAGTTAGAGAACTTTTTGTCGAAGAGGTTGGTGAATTTGTTAAATTATTGACTGAGAACCATCTTAAACCTTATTTACTTGATTCATTGAAGAGAGATCCTTTTGTTCAAGTTGTTGAAACTCGCAAAGTAATTTGTTTATATTATTTCCAGTGATGTCATAGACATGGATGCTTGCCACATCCTATTGGCTCATCTATGACAGTTTGATATGGATTCAACTCTCGAAAGGAGTAATAATGTAGTACTCATTCCATGGGGCAGTCATAAGATGGCTCTAGCTTCTCTCAAACAGGCGAAGAAATCTACTTAACAATGAATTGAGAGTTTCCTTACCCTTACAAGTAATAAGAAGGAGATTGTAGAGTCTTTAAGATAATCTGATTGTTTTTATCTAGTTGTAGTTAAGGGATTTTTTTATTGCAAATAAGGAAGATGGGGGTGTTTCGTCTGAGGTGAATTACCAAATGAGTTACCTCTTATGAAGAATATTTAGTACCAGGTTGATTTGATACCTGGGGCCTTCTAAATTTGCCTCATTACCGAATGAGTCCGAAGGAGAACAAGATTCTAAGGAAGCAAATTGAGAAGCTATTTGAGGAAAGGATTCATAAAGAAGAGCATAAGTTCGTGTACAGTACCTGTCCTTCTAGTGCTAAAGAAGGATGTAAAGTAACATATGTGTGTTCACAGTCATGCCATCAATAAGAAAAAAATGAAGTATAGATATCTCATTCTATAGTTAGGGAACATGTTAGATATGTTTGGGGGTTCTAAGGTCTTTTAAAAATAGACCTTAGCAGTGTCTATTACTAGATTCCTATTAAAGTTGGGGACAAATGGAAGATTGCCTTCAAGAGTATGGATGGACTTTACAAATGGTTGGTGATGCATTTGGACTTTTAAATGATTCAAGTATGTCCATGAAGGTAATGAACCCTTTGTCCTTTCATTGGGTCTTTTGTTATTGTTTATTTGGATGATATACTTATTTACAGCAAATTCAAGGAGGGTCACTTAGTTCACTTGAGGTAAGTCCTAGACATATTGAAGGAAAATCAATTGTACAATTGAAGAAGTGCACTTTCTGCATATATAAGCTATTGTTTTCAAGCTTTGTGATTGGTGAGGATGGTATGCATTCGGATGAAAAGAAGATGAAAGCAATCTGAGATTGGCCAATACCAAAATCAGTTTCTAGAATAAGGAGTTTTTCACGGTTTAGCAACTTTCTACAAACGATTTATCAGGCATTTTAGCACTACTGTGGCACTACTCACAGAATCTTTGAAGCAAAGGATTCAGTTAGGGAGAGGACCAAGATAAGAGCTTCACCTAATAAAAGATAAGTGGTGCATAGCTCTAGTATTAGCTTTGTCAAGTTTCAATAAGATCTTTAAGGTGGAGTGTGATGCTAGTAGTGTAGGTGTTGGAGCTGTCATTTCTCAAAAGAAGAGATCGTGATCTTCTATCTTGAAAAGTTAGTAATGTTAGGCTAAAGTGGAGTACCTATGTTCGAGAATTCTATACAATTGTGAGCTTTAAAACAATGAGAACACTACCTTGTACAAAATGAGTTTATGTTGTTCACTGATCACCAAGCCATGAAGTTTATTTATAGTTAGAAACATTTCAACAAGATGTATGCTCAATGGGTGACTTTCCTCCATAATTTTTCTTTTGTGATTAACCATGTCGAAGAGCTTCTTTATTGGCCACACTATCATAGAAAATTGTTGAGTTTGAGTGCTTCAAAGAATTTTATGCAGATGATCCTGACTTTAGGGTTATAGGAGCAAGTGTGTGAATCGAGAATTAATGGTGAATTGGAGAAAAAAGTAATAGTACAGAGGGAACATTTGATTTTAGGATTGGCCTAAAATATCATTCCTAAAAAAGGACGACAAGACGAGTAATACTCATCGCTTAACCATGATATACGATGGATTTTGGCCATTAGAGTTAGTTTAGGACCCAAAGCTACCATTTAAAGTTCTAGTGCTATTTCTATCGTTTAGTTTATTTTGAATTCTTTTCAATTTTAATTTGTTTAAACTTTATTTCCATTAATTTTAATCATCTTTAACTAGGTTTTCATAAAAACCTTTATAAATAAGGTGTTATTTCATTGTTTCATTCATCTTTCATTAATAGAATTTGGCGAGTTTCTTCTTTCATAATTTGGTGGATTTCAAATTTTGATTTTTTAAAGTTTTTACTTGAATTTCTTGTTTTGTGCTGCATCATTAGTCCAAGCCTAGCATGTGTGCCATACCTTCAAATTATGAGAAAATGGACAATATTATAGCAGTTGGTCCGAGCCTAGTCGGTTATGACTAGTATAATGAATTACAAGAAAATCAATTATACAAAATATCAATGGCCTTCCGTGCACAATAATCCCATTCTTGATTTCGTTTTGCTGGGAATTTACCTATAAAAGTAGTTTCAGGTACATATACATTAATAGCTTATACAAGTCGTATGTGTTCCCTTTCTTTGCTATTTAAATATCTCAAGATCTTTGTCTTTTTTAAGAGTAAATCTTACAATGAAATATGAATAATGATAAAATTAATACATAATATATAATCCTTTGGGCTAATCTTTTAATATGGACCCCTAGTTTTAATATGGAATCGGAAATTTAAAATAGCAATTCAATCCAACTAAAACTCAATGAGCATACAGATTTCAAGATGATGTTTTTATACTACACCAAAAATGGTCTATTGCAACACATAAAAGGCAACATTCGGTAGTTAAGTGTTGTTAAAAGGGTCTATTGCAACATCTCAATAAGGGAATGTTGCAATTAGTGAATGAAATTGAGTTTTGGCGACATTTTTAAAATAAATGACGCCAATGATACTTTCCGCAACATTTTTGGAAAGTTGTGAAAAGTTTTTTTTTTTGCAACATCTAAAAAACATTGCGAAAAGTACCTTTTGCAACTTTTTTTCAACGTTGCAGAATATAGACTTTTCGCAATGTTTTTTTAAACGTTGCAAAAGGTCGACTTTTCGCAACGTTTTTTAAACATTGCAAAAGGTAGACTTTTTGCAACGTTTCTTAAATGTTGCCAAAAATGCCTTTCACAACGTTTCTTAAACGTTGCCAAAGGTAGACTTTTCGCAACGTTTTTTAAACGTTGCCAAAGGTAGACTTTTCGCAACGTTTCTTAAATGTTGCCAAAGGTAGACTTTTCGCAACATTTTTTAAACGTTACAAAAGATACAGTTCGCAATGTTTTTTAAACGTTGCCAAAGGTAGACTTTTTGCGATATTTTTTAAATGTTGCAAAAGATAACCTATTGGGCCAGCAGTCCTTTAATGGGCTTTTTTTGGATTGTTGGGCCTTTCAATTTAGAAGCTCAAGAGAAAAATGTTGCAAGCCTTAACTCCCAACTCAACCTCGCCTCGCCATTCTCCACGCCTTAGTCTTGCACCTCTGCCTCTCGATGACTTTAACTACCACAACTAGAAGTGGGCAAACCCCAACCTAACTGATGCAGATTGAATCTACAAACACACGATACTAATAACTCAAGCCGATTGAATGCAAGAGACAAACGTTTTTCTTATTTCATGAACCAAAAATCATAAGAGACATTTTTAGAGTTGTAAATATGAAAAGAATAGATAATCTACTAGGCTAGCAGTCTTTCAATGGGGTTGGCTACTACGCGAGATTAACAAATACGGAAAATAATAAACTGCAAAACTTTAAATGCCGTTTTGACCTAATAAATGAATTCAAACAGTCAAAATCCATCATACATCACTGAGGCAAATACTTTTATGCATACCTCTTCTGGTTGATCCACACCATACTCTATTCTCGTAAGATGATACACACTGGCTAACAGTCCGCCAGGTGCTACATCATTGGCACATTGGGAGCGTAGATAATTGTAACCATATACATATAAAATGACAGCAATGGAATGTCAATCCTTGGGCTTTATTTGTAAAATTAAAGCTTCTATAAATACAGATACACCCAATACATCGAAACTCATTGCCCATGGATAAAGAAAAACCGTTTCAACATCAAAAACAACAAAAACGAGAGCAAACATATAATAACGGATTCGAAATTGTAACCAAGCGTCACCCATTGGTTCTATACCCGATTCATAACTAGAAAGTTTCTCCGGCCCTTTCCTAATCGAGTTTATCCAGAATTGTCACGAGTTTTTCGAAATGGGTTTATTGGCCCAAAATAAACATCGTATGCAAAAGTTACGCCAATTTCTTCGAACGCCGACCATCTAGGCATTTTATAAATGCAAGTGTATGTTCCTCCACACAAACCTCATCACCAACCCACCAAAATCGATCGAACCAAATCAAATCGATGTTTGGGTCGATTTTTGCTTATTTTTTAAGTGCTCTCACCCAAGCCCAAATCTATTAGTATTTTTTTTTTTTTTTGGGTTTAGCCCATTCATTTTTTGTGAGCAGCCCGTATCACCAAAATGTGAGCAGGCTGTGTCTAAATAAAATTGACCCAACTCCATTTTTGGGCCCAAACAAAATTGTAATTTCAATACCCATTTATAATCCAAACCCAAACCTAAAACACTTCATTTCTAAATTCCAATCCATTTGATATTATCCATTAGCTTCCTCGGTTCATTGGTTGAGTCAGTTCGACGGTTCCATTGGCTTTCTCCTCCACAAGGACCACAACCACGAGTGACGAGTCGCCGTTGAGGCTATGAGTCTGTGACCCACTGACCGTGGTCCGTGAGGCATGACTTGTGACGTAAATCAGGTGATTTTCTTGGGCTTTTAGAATTTCAGAATCTTGGATTTTTCTTTGTGGTGGGCCGATGGTTGTTAATGCTTTTTAGAAGTTTGATTTTGGAACCATGAAACTGATTAAAGATTGGAGAAGGCAAGAAGTTGACTAAAATTTTCACTCTTCATTTAATTTTTATTATCGCTATGGAAAGTGGAAAAACACCTTTTTTGGGATTTGAAGTTTTGATGATTTCTAGTTTCTAGAGTAAGTTTACAGTGGCCTTTGCAGTTTGCCCTTGTGTGACTTTGTCTCATTGTTCCCTCTTTGGTATGATTAGGGTTTTTCATATTTGAGTGAGTAATTTATAATTATGTAATTGTAATCTAAAGAAGTAAAGAAGATGCTAAATAAGAGTTTTTTTTCCCACATTTTGATGGAGTTGCAACCTGCAATATGTATGACAGATGAATGTAAACGGACAGTATGAATGTAAACGGACAGTACACTAGCACATGAACCGTTTTTCAAAAATGATGAATGCAGTGGAATAAACATTACGGCAGATTAAATTTACCTATTGGATTAGAACCAGGCTCGATCTTGAGGCCAGGCGGATGATGCCTGTGCCTCAGGCCCAAAATCCAAGGGGGCCTCATATTGTTGGCCCAATTTTTTTTTTTTTTTTTTTTTATTATTATTTGAACAATGGTAACCCAGCTAAGAGTAGCCTAAAACTCTCAAGCTCAAGCCCGTATCCTGATCCATTATCCATTTTTCCCAAAATTCCCAAATTGAAATCCATTCCATTTTCTCTCTCGCTCGACTTCTCCTTATTCCTCTTCCAGCTCCAGTTCCAGACTTTCGAGATCCAGACTTCAACTCTTCTAGTCTTCTAGAGTTCCAGTTTCAGTTTTCAAGTTCCTCGCTTGGTTAGTTGGCTGCTTGGCTTCACAGTTCGCTGGAGCGATGGAGGCACGGACCCTCGAGGCTTGAGTCCCACTGGTCATTGTCTCAGACTCCCAGTGAGTTCAAACACCGAGTGGCCTCCTTCTGTCGAGAGGCTACTGGCTGGGGCCTGGGCATTTTTGGTGTCAAACCAGTGAGCTCAAGTTCCATTCCCTAATGAGTTCAACTCTTTTAGTTTTTTACCAGTTACATTTAGGTATTTACTTATTATAATTTTGATGGCTTGATTTTAATTGATAAATAGTCCTTTTTATTGTACATGTGCTGTGGGGTATACTGTAATTGAGTTTCAGAGAAGTTCTTGGAAAGAGTTGACTGTTGGGAAGGGAAAAAGATTAAAGGAATGGAATGGTTGACGAGGGTTGAGTGTTACTGTGTTAAAGTTCTTTGAAGAGGGTTTATAGCAAATTAAAATGGGAGAGTAGTACTGCGTAATTAATGGCTGAGTGACGAGGGTTGAGTGTTACTGTGCTACTGTGTAATTATTGCAAATTGAGTGTTACTGTGTTAAATCCAAATCTTGAAATTGGCACACTAGAAGATCTACTGATCTAGTACTACTAGTATTGGCTCTTGGCGACAATGGACATTATCCCCTCGATAAATGCATAGAAGAGTAAGCCAAAAATGATAAGGATTGCCTACTTTATTTGATGGAATGGAATCCATATGCAAGTGAAAAGGATTAGGGTAGTAGTGGATAAATGAGATTGAGCATATAAACTGATTATTTTTTCCTCTCTATAAACTGATTATTTTTTCCTCTCTATCTCTTTGAACAATTTGAGATTAAAAATTAGAGGTGGGCTAAAGTGAATGTTTGAATTTTGATTCCTAATGCTATCTTTTATCATGTGTAAGTGTAAAATAGTTTATAGTTAATTTGAATAACTTAATTTGATAGAATGACAGGCAAATTGTGCAATTGTTATTTCCCTAAGTTTGATGATCATGTTCATATTTGTATTAGCGTTTGATGTGAAATTTTCGTTTCAGGGTCGTTAGTTGTGAGTTTTTTTAGTTGTGACAGTGGAATTCTCGAAGGTGTAACTCCACAATTTTCATCGAAATTCTACTTCTCAAGTAAGCAATATCTTGCCCTAACTTGTTATTGAAGAGATTGAAAATGTTTAAAGCCTTGTCGGCTTATATAATCGTAGCTTGGTCTGCTTATATGATTGATTGTTGGAGGATCAACAATTGCACAAACGCACATAATGACTATATTGTTGGTTTTGATGGTTTATAATATAAATCTTGAGTATTATAACAACAATGTTATAACACGTGTTATAACAACAATGTTATAACACATGGGTTTTGATGGTTTATAACATTGTTGGTTTTGATGGTCTATAATATAAATCTTTTCTATAATATATTTGGTTTTTTTTTTTAATGTTAATTTTTTAAGTTAGCAATGAATCGTATAATACATCGTTGAATTTCACATTTACATTGCTTTCGCTAAGGGGCCTAATTTACAGACTTCGCCTCAAGTTCCGACAATCACAGGATCGATCCTGATTAGAACTACTCCTGTATTCTCAATTGCAGTAGAAAGCTCTATGGAACGGGCAATTGTAACACCATCACTAATCACTTTAAGTGTTTCTGTTTCTAAAAGAACTGCATGCTTCAAAGTAACACCAATAAACTTTTTTCCAGAAATAAAACAATAGTAGTGACAACTATAAAAGTAAGAATATAATTCATTCTATATTTTAAAATTTTGAAATAATTTTGACTATCACTGGCTCTACTATGTTTCCAAAGTCAGATTTGCTTTCTCAATAAAACATACTTCAGTGCCTGACTTTAGACATCCCCAAAAACCTCACAATAGCACATAACAAAGATATCATTCTTCCAAAGGATTTATGAAAAATAAAGGCAAAAGCATGATGTTGATGTGTAGGAAAACATTAGCCCTACGTTATTCGGCTAAAAAAGGTTACATCAAGCTTTAAGTGGGAGCCGAAAGGTGAAAGTGAAATACCATTTTATGTACTTCTGTTTGATGACCTTATTTTTCTTAAGTTACAATATCAATTAAAAGAGTGGACTAAAAGTTAATTCTAAATTTTAATGCGGAGTTCTTCTTCATTGTCAAGTGTCAACAGACTTAATTCCACAGACACGTAGGAAAAGCAAAAGCTTCAATACACCCTAGTAAGTAAATGTCCCCATCTCTAAAGTAGTGGGAGTGTTAGAGAACTTGAAAGCCAATTACAAATTCAGGCACAAAGGGTGGGGGCATTAGAAGAAAAATGTAAACATTTATCGGGTTTTTTGTGCAGGTTATGAGTAGTAACTTTTTATACATTTCATGATTATATAGCTTTATATAGCCAATTACATGTATAATAACTTTTGTAATTTTTGTATCATTATACAGAATGTGGTTTCCGTTTCCTATATTGTTAAATGTTTATCTAATATATATTCAGTTTGTAACATTCTAATTTTAAAAAGAATACTTTCCGTTTATTATGAATTTGTAGTCACACCAAGGAAGTGGTAACCAAGAAAGTACTACCCCCAAGACATATGCTAGATGTCAATTGTTGCATTGGTACATTTTTGAGGAGGAAGAAGTCATAATAGAAAGGAAGATTGCCACAACAAACCCAAGTGTAAAGGTGCATCACTTGCCACTTGGTCGAGACTGTTGGAAGGTTTGGGTTGAGAAAGTCTATATGGGTAATTTGACTCTATACAGACTCACGTATGAATTCCATGGGAATCACTTGGCCAAAGAGCAGCATTAGACTTATTGATTAAGGTATATTTTTTGGATTTATAACATATAAGCGTCTTATTTTCGTTTTCTTTCCATTTCAAATAGTATTTAGTGTTGGTTGGTTGGTTGGTACGTATGAAGTGGTTTCATGTAATTGGTTGGTTAGCTAGTGAGATTTTGGCAGTGAGAATTAATAGGTTACTTGCTTAATTCTTAGGTTTCATTCAATAAGTTTTTTGTTATTGAATGGTCGAAACATGATTTTATGTTGAGGTTAGAATTCTTGTAGTGGGTAATTTGTTAATGTGTTGGTAACATGATTTTGTGCTAAGCCTGAAATGCCTTTGTGATTGTCTTGATTTATCACAATTAAGTATATCTTAATAAAAAGGAGAAGTTTTTCTATTTAAAAGTTTATTTGTTATTCAGTGGTTGTTGGCTAAAAACACCTCTACAGAACTCGTTGATTGTAGGCTGATCTTTTTCCAAAAACAATTTTCTTTTTGAAGTGAGATTAATGCAAAGCTCATTGGACAGAAATTGTTCCAGTGGCTATGGTATTGGTCAAGTAACATGCGACGATGTCAAGTTTAAGTTTCAATTTTTGTAGTTTCCTAATTACATTTTGGTAGTACATGTTTGGAGACTCTTATTTTTATTTTGGAAAACATTATGTGTTGAATATTTTACAAATTTAATGAGTACATGTTTGTTAGTTCATTATTTTGGTGGTACATGTTTGTTAGTTTTGAATGACTTATTTGATCAAAAAACAGGATTTTTAGTAGTGCTTTAAGCATAGATAAAAAAAAATGTGAATTATCTATTGCAACATTTGTTAAAAGTTGCAATAGCCATCTTTCCAATGTTGCAATAGCCTATCTATTGCAATGTTATTAAATGTTGCAATAGGCTATTACAACATTTTAAAAAAGTTGCAATAGCTTGCAATAGATAGGCTATTGCAACATCTTTCCTAGATTGGCCTTTGGAGCGTTTAAAAAACATTGCAAAAGACTATCTATTGCAAGTTTCGTAACATACGCTCAAACGTTGCAAATGACTTTTTGCAATGTTTTTTGACCGTTGCAATAGCCCTTTTTTGATGTAGTATTAAACGAGTCAAAATTGTGTTAGAGCATGTTAAGTGTAAATCTAATGCATGAGCATGATTTAAATAGGATGGATAAAATGGAGAGGTATTGGGATGAATTATTGGCATTGATTATTGGTGATATAGGGTGAATATATTATTGTCATGAGCTATAAATTTCGGACAAATTGGTGGACATACCCTACATCAGATAGCATCAGAGTTGGTATCCATTCAAGATGATTTATGTGGGCACAATCACCTTTCATCTCATCATTTAGATATTTAATGGTTTTGATAGATTCATATACACAATGGTCACATGCTTGCTCAATTTATTTGATTAAGAGCACAATTACCAATCACCAATCAAGATAATCTATCTTTTAATGATAGTGAATTTATCCCAAAGTTTTATCGAATATTGTATGAAAAAAGAGATAAAATTTGAACGTTATGTTGTCAATGTTCATACAAAAAATTGATCCAGCAGAATTAACCATTAAATGCTTTATTGATGAAAAGAAATCACCCTGTTTCCGCTTGGGGACATGCTATTTTACATGCAACAACACTTGTGCACAACGAGGCATAATCTTACTATAAATTCTTCCCATTATGATTGACTTTTGGTTAGGAGCATGATATTTCTCATTTAAGGATTTTTGGTTGTACGGTATACAGACCACTTGTCCTACCACAATGCACTAAGATGGGTCCTAAAAAAGATTGAGAATACATACTGGGTTTGAATCTCCATCTATAATAGAATATCTTGAGCCACTAATAGGTGATATTTGCCATTTTGACATGATGATCTTCCCAGCATTAGGGGAAATAAAATTGTTGGAAAAAGACATTACATTGAATTCATCATCATTATCTTGTTTTGATCATTGTGTAAAACAATGTGAGCAACAGATTCAAAAGATAATTCATTTGCAAAGTAAGCAAATTAGTTGTCAGATGAATTTACTGAATCAATGAGAGTAACCATTTCACAACTTCTAGTTTTAAATATTCTAGCTCGAATTGACATCTCTGTAGGATAGTCCATCCATGTTATAACTAATGAATCTAAAGCATGGTAGAACAATTGATTCCAAAGTTAAAAATCCCCGAACGCAAGAAGAATAAGCAATCAAGATGATCCCTTCGAGGGGCTTGGTACTCAAGAAGCTCACATAAGTACTGATAAAACCAATAAGAGGTTCAAGTATATGGAATTAGCAAAATTGAAGAGATCTCAATAAGTTATGGCACTACGAAAAGAAGATGGAACTAAAAAGAAACTATTGTTGACAATATTTTTGATATAGCGCTCACTATAAAAGCAAGGATGTGGAACCATAGTTCGTCGAAGAATGCCATAATCGAAATGATTGGCCAAGCTGGAAAAATGCAATCCAAGCAAAAGTGGATAACTAGAAAAACGAAAAAGTTTTCAAACCTACAATTCAAACACCTGAAGGTATAAAGCTAGTGAGGAATATAAATGGGTATTTATGGGCAAATGAAATGAGAAAAAAAAATGAAACCTTGAGATAAAGATTTGAGATGCATCTAATGGATGTGATTACAACTTATTTACATGGATTGCTTGATAATGATAGCTATATGAAAATTTTTGATGGATTTTAAAATACATAAACCATATCATTCAAGTTCAATGGATATTTATTTGATTAAATTACGGAGATCCTTTTATTGATTAAAGCAATTACAAAGAAATCAAGATCTATGTTTGTTTGGAAATTTGCATCACCGAAGAAATTGGAGAAGAACCAATGACCAAAAAATCAAGAAGATGAAGAACATAATGAAATGAAGGCTCGAACGCATAATTACTCTTCTCAAACTATATTTGCCTCTTCTCGGGATTGTTTGAGATACTTAAAGATTTTGGCAAATGGTTTGTATGATTATATCAAGCCTTGTAAAGGATCTAGCGCTAAAGCATAAGCGCGATCCTCCAAAACTTTAAGAACACAAAGAAGATTTGAATATGAATAAAGAATCAATGGTTTGATTTTATGTGGAATAATATTTTGATCAAAAGGTGCCACCAAAATTTGAACCTTCAACGGCAAGAAACAATATTGCAACGGTCGGATTTCTTACCCATGCGACCGTTTGATTTTCTATTGTTTTATTCCACCGTTTTTATCCCACCGTTTGGTTCCATCCACCATTTAGTTTTAATATTCAACTTCCACCATTTAGTTTTAACATTCCACACTTCAACACTATATTGATTTTGAGCAAATTCTCAACAATCCCACACTTGTTCAAAATTTAATAAAGTCTCATATCCAAATCATACGATGCTCATGCATAAGGACTAGATATCTTTCGATTTGAATCTAGCCATAGTGTAATCCAAACAATATAGTCGGAATCAAAGGTAGCCGTAACTTTGAACCAGTTATTCCATGTGAAATACCGATTCGAACACGCACACGAATACCACGTGTTCTCAAGTTCCTCAAAACTCGCTTAGCACTGTTATGATCTTGCACTCATCCTATTCAACAAACTTTTAAGAGAGAAACACTTATTGTCAATTGAGGCAGTACTACCTCAAAATTTGTTTAGGTGAAATTCTTCCAGTATCTTTGTTACTTTTTGAGATACTTGTGTTTTTAGCACTGAATTTCATTAAGAGCTTTAATGCTCAACCCTTATTTCAGTAACAACCAGCATTATTTTATTGAGGATAAGGTAAATGTGGATTTCAATAATGCTGCAACCATCCCACATATCGAATGACTTGTTTTTCCCTTTGAACCCGTGGATTACCTTTTGAGTAATGACAGGTAGGGTTGCCGTCATTGGTGGACCTTTATAGATTAGGAGTTTCAACCCCATCCTACTTGAAGTAAATGCCACTAAAGTTTTATTTAGTGGTCTAGTTAAATGATCCGCTAAATTCTCTTCGAAAATTATTCCACCTTTGATAATTTCCTTGTGACGTCACCTCTAAGACTTATATGTCTTTACTTCTCATTTTATGTAACTTAGTATCTTATCAAAATATAGTTAGCCAATGATCGATTCATTTGATAGATATAACTTGTCACTACCAAGAAGCCACATGTTTCTCACTCGTTTTATGTAAAGCCTTATTGATTTTTAAAACGTCATTGGATGATTTCCATTAATTCATTACACTAGCCAATTAGTTCTATTTGTGGATTTTAATACTTGGGTATTCAGTTATCATCATTGAATTATTACAATGATCTTCAATGAATATTCTTTAAATAATCTATTGATTTTCCAAGCACCACAATCAGCGTTTACCCATTTAATCTACTTTAGACTTAGTGTGTTTCATCCTTACAAGGCCTTAACTACTTTTCTCCATCATAGATGTATTTCTATGATTAAAAGATAAAGGATACGGTAACTTTTTAAACTAAGTTACCCCCACAATTCCTCAATTAGGAATTCTTATGCAATCTTGTAATGTTGCATCTATATACTTTGAACTTCTTATATAAGTTCATAAGATTAATGTTAACCCCCACATTTCGGGTTATACTCGAACATAGAGTTCCTCAATATGTCAACCCCCACATTTGGGATTGCAATTGAACTTAAAGTTCATCAACTCTTTTATAGTTTTTCTTATCACTTTGATAATACTCGTGAAAGTTTAGTTACTTTCAGATAGTGGTTGTTAAGTCACAACATATTTCAATCCAACTATCTTTAATTTTGATCACACGATTTGATCGAGGTCATCTCATAGACCAATAATGCCTTTCCAAGCATAAACCAACTCAATTGGTTTCTCGAATAAGACTATGCTTCTTGTTTAACAAGAATTGCACTTTGTCACTTCGACGAGATTATATCATATCAAACAATAAGGCATATGTTCACCTTATTCACATTTGGACAAAATCATATTTTGTCACATTTATATGCAAACACAACTTTGTATAAGATCATCTCATTTAATTTTGTGGCTATCATCATTTTAATAGAACATGAAATCAACCATCAAGTTTATCAAGTGATTCTCGTATTCTAGTAGAATAAGTAGTCATGAAATTTCATGAGCTTTCAACAAATAGTAGATATCCTTCCACATTTATGCACATCCTTTAAACCCATTAAATATTAATAGACTAGTCTCGAAACACAAATATGGATGTACTTTAGTTGCACCTTGAAGTCCATAAGCCAACTTAATGGCAAATGCACTGTGCAGTAAATGGTGCCCTATGGAAACATGTGGGCAATTCAAGTGGATATATCATCCAAGCAAATGTGATAGCCCATATATTGGAATTAATCACCGAATAACAACC